CTTAGGCTTTGGCACCCAGACAGCATCCCAACTTTCACACAATTCGAGTGCTTTATGTGGTGTATATCTATTTGGTGCCTCCTTGTATCGATGTTTATGTGTTTAAATAAATAAATAATAAATGCAAGTAATTCAATTCATTCTTTAAATGTATATATTTCTCCGTTGTTCACGTTAAGGACATCAGGTTATTAGTTTCTGTAAACATATGAGCATTCTGAGCACATCGCCGCTATACAGTCTATAGTCATCAGTTTCTATTCTATATGTGTTATGTGAGTAACAGTGTAATTCAAATCAGAAGACTTGGTAGAATTGAAATGTAGTCGGTTCTAGTCTCAGTGTGAATATTAACATTGAGATGTGAATACACTCAAGTGACAAACCTTATAGAAGATAAAATGTCGTTCAAGACCCAACTATTAATCCCATATCAAAATGATACTTTGAAACTGTTAAGACTTTTGTAGAAAATTCACAACATTTTATTATTCATTACAAATAATCAGTTTTCTATGAACATTTGACTGGAAAGGTTGATAGATTACAGACTTTTAAAAAAAAATGAAGAAACATTATAACTTATGCGAATTAATACTGGGAGTCAACATACATAATCCAAATGAATTTATTAACTAAATAAGAATGAACTGTTTTCAAAATAATTATTCCTTAATTGCTTTGAACTGATTTCATTGAATATGTCAGCTACCATAAGCAATGAGGGATGATGATTGGCAGTAGAATCAAAAACTCGCGTTTCATCTTATTAGGGACTCGTCAGCTGGATGTACCTGCATCCTAGAGTTCACTTGAAGACTTGAACTCAGTATCATTCGCTTCAAACGTCATCACGTTATCCACTTAGCTACTGAGTCCTGATAGCCAATTGCTTGTGATTGTGTGTCAGACACTTTTACTGGAACTATTTAAAATAGAAAATATAAATAATTTAATGTACCATTCAGAGACTTTATAATTCACATTGAAATCCAACCATTGATATAATCTCTAGTCTCATTTATTCATGAATAGATGCTCCTAAGTATTGACAAACATAAGTAGAAATACAAATCAGTAAACTGATAATATGGACCCGACAACATACCAGCTGAAGCACTGAAATCAGACATCGAAACAACCACAAGCATGCTTTATCTTCTATTCAAAAAGATTTGGGAGGAGGAACAAGTGCCGATGGACTGGAAAGAAGGACACCTCGTCAAGATTCCAAAGAAAGGAGATCTGAGCAAATGTGAAAACTACAGAGGCATAACACTACTGTCAATACCAGGGAAAGTCTTCAACAGATTGTTGCTGAACCGGATGAAGGATGCAGTAGACGCCCAACTTCGAGATCAACAAGCTGGATTCCGTAAGGATCGGTCGTGCACAGACCAAATTGCAACACTACGGATCATCGTCGAACAATCAGTTGAGTGGAACTCATCACTATACATCAACTTCATTGATTATGAAAAGGCATTCGACAGTGTAGATAGGAGGACATTATGGAAACTTCTTCGACACTACGGAGTTCCTGAGAAGATTGTCAATATTATCCGGAACTCATACGACGGACTACAGTGCAAAGTAGTGCATGGAGGATAGCTGACAGATGCATTCCAAGTAAGAACCGGAGTCAGACAAGGCTGTTTACTCTCTCCCTTCCTCTTTCTCCTGGTGGTCGACTGGATTATGAAGACCTCAACATCTGAAGGAAAACACGGAATACAATGGACAGCTCAGAACCAATTAGACGATTTGGACTTCGCAGATGACCTAGCCCTCCTATCGCGTACACATGAACAAATGCAGATAAAGACAGCCACTGTAGCGGCAGTCTCTGCATCAGTAGGCCTCAGCATACACAAAGGGAAAACCAAGGTCCTCAAATTCAAAGCGGAGAACAGCAATCCAATCACACTTGATGGCGAAACTCTGGAAGATGTAGAGTCCTTCACATATCTGGGAAGCATCGTCGATGGACAAGGAGGATCCGATGCAGACGTAAAGGCGAGGATCGGCAAAGCAAGGGCCGCATTCCTACAATTGAAGAACATATGGAACTCAAAACAACTTTCAACCAATATCAAAGTGAGAATCTTCAATACGAACGTCAAGACAGTCGGTTCTACTGTATGGAGCTGAAACTTGGAGAACTACAACAACCACAATCAAGAAAGTACAAGTATTTATAAATAGCTGTCTACGCAACATACTCAACATCCATTGGCCGGATACCATCAGCAATAGCCTTCTGTGGGAGAGAACAAACCAACTTCCAGCTGAAGAAGAAATTAGGAAAACACGATGGAAATCGATAGGACATACATTACGCAAATCGTCAAACTGCATCACGAGGCAAGCCCTAACTTGGAATCCTGAAGGGAAGCGAAAAAGAGGAAGGCCAAAGAACACATTGCGTCGGATAATAGAAGCAGATATGAAAACGATGAATTACAACTGGACGAAGCTGGAAAGGATTGCCCAGGACAGGGTTGGATGGAGAATGCTGGTGAGCGGCCTATGCTCCTTCACGAGGAGTAACAGGCGTAAGTAAGTAAGTAAACTGATAATATGTATTTGTTTAATGGGAGATAGACTAATCCTGAATTTAAAATCACTGATAACTACTTTGAGTAGGTGAAGTGTTAACTTAGCCAGGTAATGCTACAATTTGACTGACAATTGAACTTGGAGATGATTCTGTAACGTAATCGTTAGATCTAAATGAATAGTAAATGAATGGTAACTACTAGGAACCATGTATGGACTGTTATTATATATATATTCTCACTGTATAACTGTTAAGTAACTAGATTGTATATATTTATATTTCTTTTATTATAAGCTTTCATTTAACTTAGTGTCTATTATTATACGATTTACTATTTTTAAGTTATTCCCGATTTATTAGTTACAGTCTCTCACACTCACAGCCACATTCGGCTTGGTCTTGTATAATTGTTATTTTCTATTTTATGGTATGATTTGTTCTGGTTTGCTTGTATATTAACCAAGTATGTCTGAAATATATGATTCAAGCAGTGGAATCCGAGATTGTGTTCTGGACTCAAACGGACTCTGCTAGGTGAGATGAACCAATAAGGACTCATAAATGACTTCTCGTACCAGTTAACGCATCACTGGTTTGGCACAGTGCCAAGGTCATATAAGTCGGTGTTCTAATAGGTACTTTTGTCACGTGATAACTAACAGGACATAAGAACATACTAGTAATAGTCCCTATATATAATAATCGATGGCAACTGTTATATTTTATAGTTGACAACGACAACTGACAAAAAGGGGAGGGAGGGAAATTTAAAACTAAGAAATGCTGGACACTTGTTACATCAAAGTCTCAGACTCCTCAACAGTGTTACGTGAAACCTAACCAAAGATTGAACCTAAGACCCTGAAGTCTTCAACTGGCCACTTCACCTTTAAACCCCTAAGTTAACTTTCAAATGTATATTTTTTTCCTAATCCATAATGTAAACTAAAACGTTTGCATCAATTTAGTTCTATTTATCAATTACTAGTTTTTTTTCTTATTCAATTACAATAACTAAACAGTTTAACTACACAATAGTAAACTTGCACAAATTAATCTATACATAACTGCTGACTTAAAACCATACTATCAATTGTGGTTACTTTTTTTCCCACTAACTCTATTTAACTATTTATTCACAAGTGAATTTCGATAGGTTTTTTTCAACTTATTTCAAATTAATTTCGCGCGCGAAACTGATAGGTCTTGGGTTCAAATCTCGCGAGGCGAGATCATGGATCTGCACTGCTGAAGATTCCCACAATAGGACGAAACAGTGGTTCATATTTCTTTGTTTTAAATTGTTATCATTGAAAAGAGGGAATTTTATAGCCGGCTGAACAGATTTATTTTTAATAGTTAAATTCATGAGTCGATGTAAACTGGATCACCATTGAAAAACTGAAATTACTGGACAGCAGTTTCGTCCTGATTTTCGACTCCCTAGAAGTGCATATCTACGATCCCGCACGTGGGACTCAGACTTGGGACCTTGAGTCTCGCGCAAGAACGCTAAAACTGTAGATCATTGAGGCTGTATTCAACAGTGAAACATTCACTACATTTCGTTGTACAACTTACAAAAGAGCCTAATCAGAGACATCGTGGTTTCTGGCAATATGCATCGAAAACAATAGACATTATTCAAATATTGATTCTTGAACTGCTAATATCTAAGCTGGCAATCAGTCAATATTTATCATCAGGATCGATCAAGAAATAAGAAAAGGAAACATGTTGAAATACTTCGAGCTGAGAATTCTATATTGGACCAAAAATATGGTATTGAATAAAGCCACCAATAGTAATAATAATAATTGTTGAACTAACATAATATTTGGTCAACTTACAACCTATTACCAATAGTGATCATTGTTGTGACTTTATGTCCGGCTTTTTCTCACGTGATTTATCCACCAATCAAAATACGATTTATACAATCTTAGCACTGTGCCAAACCAATGACGTTCGACCGATATGAGCAGCCTAGCGCCCTTATTGGTCCTATGTCCGCCTAGTCCATCCACTTGAACCCAGAACACCAATACCAGTTTCCACTATGCTAATCGAATCGAATCATTTATTTCAGACATACTCGGTTTATATATCCACCAAATAGACCGCAATGCACCATAAAATAGGAAATAACATTTGCACGCAATAAAGCCAAAAAGTGACTGTAAACGTGGGAGACAGTAGTTAATAAACTGAACATAGTAGCTTCAGAACCGTAAATCGTACAATAATAAATTATAAGTCGAAATAAAGCTTACAATAAGAGGAATATCAATATAAATAATCTAATTATTGAATAATTATACCATAAGAATGTATAGATAATATTAGTCAACTAATATGTCTCAGAAGTTACTCGTGATTTAATCTTCATTCGGATATAACAATCATAATACTATTCTTTATTCTTCTGTCTATATTTCAGATTGGGTCCACAAAACCTGATGCATTAGCTTTACCATATTTCGCCAAAATGACAGAAAATAAACGATTTTCAAAATTCCACTATAATACTACCACTAGTACTACTACTACTAATAATAATAATAATAATAATAACAATATTGCTATGTCTGCTGAAGTAATGCGTTCCGATTCACCAAAATCATTAGCTTCATTGATAGATGCATTGAAAACTATACATCCATTACTTTATAATTTAAATGAGAATCATATCCCTTTATCATTAACCGATCATGATAACAATGAAAACTCGAAATTATTCATTCATTGTTTATCAGAATATTTATTCACATGTATGAAATTGCGTTCATTAGATTTAAAAGGTGAATTTGTTACATTCTTATTTCCATTAAAACATTTCAATGAACAATTATGGAATAAATATGGTACAATTGATGATTGGAATGAATTATCTGTTGTTTGTGAACCGAATACAAACTATGAATATGTTGTATTGGTAAATTGTTTCTTTATTTCTTGATTGTTTGTTTGTTTTTTTTACATTTGACAAACTTCAATGAAGATTAGTCTCTGATGGAATCCAGATGTTCATCAGTGACTTATTTGCAGAGTTATTTCAAAGACTTTTAGTTAGAAGTAAAGGTCATTTGATAAACTTCAATAAAGGTTAGTCTAATGGAATCTAAATCAATTCGACTAGTTTCAGAAATCTGCAATACTAATGATGAACAGATGTTCATTTCAAAGAGTTGTAGTAAGAAGTAAAGGTCATTAAAATCTAGCTATTTCATATTTGAGGTATTTACCCACCAAATAATATATATGGAGATGTTTGCATAATATTACGGACTGATAAAGTTGATTATGTAAGCCAATAGATGTTGGTTCAATAGTTAAAAGAACACCAGGAGATTCTTGATTGGTTTATAGACTGTCAATAATGAAAAGCTCCATGCGAAAACAAAACAGTTATTGTCTAGTGCTTTCTGATTTCAGTAGTTGTATAACAGAAGTTAGTTCATGATGTCAGTTTTTTTGACTATTTGAATTATTACTGTAATACATGAGTGAATTACATGCATTGAATGACATATAACTAAATATAAATAAGCATACACTTGGTATTGTTCAGCTTGTATCTTCTCATTGAGGTTTAAGACGGCAATCGATCAGTATGTGATTGGCATATGTGCATACTGTGCGTATGCCTCGATATTGCCTTAATTCACAAGCTTTTTGTAAGCAATGATGGATAGTGGCTAGCAGTGGAATCCAAGACATCAAGTCTGAGATGCAGGTGCATCCAGTTGACGATTCCCAAATGGGACGAAACGCGCGTACCGAATAAGGATAGTTTTTTCTTCATCCCATTGTACTATGTTTCAACTAGTTACAAAAACACTGGAATATGACGTCTGATCTTTTGTCTCTGGAGATTTATTATATATATATATATATATATATACTTTATCTTAACCACTTTCCATCATTCTTAATAATGACTGTAAACAAACAAAATTGAATGATACGCGCTATTATTCATCCAAAGGATGTGAAATTGAATATCAAGATCTACGGTTGACTATATTGTTCATACCTCAATGCTTTTTTTACATGGAATATAGTCAACGTATTGAAAATCGATTAGCCGATAACATTGAAAATAATAAAATAAAAAACATTTATCAGTGTTTCCAGGTTTTCAATGGTGATCTAACATTGATCCATTAATGATATGAATCTAAAAATACATTTATATCAAACAGTACATGCATTAGACAAAAACTAAGCCTTCAACAAATGAAATTCAGATGATATTTTTGTAAATAACCAACTGTCTAATTATCAGTGAAGCTGAAATATAAAGGCGAATCAATCAGATCACTTAAGGGTCACAATGTATAAACCGAAACACAATATTGTCAATCGAACTTGGATGATCCACTTTAATGAATAAAATATGATTATATAATTGATGTTAAAGTTAGATATGGGATTTAGACTTTTGGATTTGTTTTGAGAATCAGGAATTAGATTGAGGTTTAGTATTTGGATAAAGATTAACCGAAAACCCAACCCTAATATTAAATCTTAACAATAAATCTCGAACTCTAATCTTAACTGTATATCTAAATTGCCAATCCTACATCCTGGTGCTAGCTATAAGTTCTAATTCTAAATCCTCACTCTGAATGCTAAAACCAAACCGTTGCAACGTAAAGCCAAATCATAGCTCTAACCCTCATTACAAAAATGCTCCAGGCAACATTTACCTACTCATAAAGGAAAAAGTAGTTAAACAATAAAACAGTAATAATTACGTGTATATTTTTATTGATATAACGTTTTGATTTTTTTGTTGTTGATGTAATACAGAATACAGCCAACGAATCATCACAAAAAATCAGATTTCCTAAAAAAACAATCGATAAACTATTAACAAATTGGTTAGATAATCAAACTACAAAAACACCTTCGCCAGGAAATCGACATTCATTGGAAAGCAAAAATAATACAGAGAAACATTCAGATGATAAATTACTTCATTCAATTAGTTTAGCTGTGACATTAAAAACGTTGTTAAATTTATTTGAAAAACATGAAAAAGTAGAAAGTGATGAACATCACCCTCATCAAGAACAACAACAAAAACAACCACAACCATGTGTAGATCTATTTCTAACTTGTATTAAACTTAATGTACTACTAAGTTTAAGTGAATGTTTAGATAAAAATAAATCAATCCAATTTAACTTAAAACCAGAACATATTTTACTTATATTAACACCATCTAATTGTTTAACAATTTTTAAACATTATGAAAAAATACAAAATAATAAACAAAATGAGAAACCAGCTAATACTGATGATGATGATAATCATAATGAGACTCATGATCTACAATCATTATTAAAAATAATGAATATTCAATATGATTCAATGAATGAAAGTATCAATGATTTAATCAAACAATTATATGAAATTATACAACATAAATATCAATATTCAGATATGATTACATCATTATTGAAATCAGTTGCACCACCAGATTGGATAACAATGTGTGTAGCTAGAATATGTTTATATAATCAAACAAATTCATAGAAATTCAATTCAATGTTAATGTCATGATTATATACTTTCTCATATTTATAATAAATAAATGAATATCCCTTAAACACACTTTCATTCATACCTATAACAACCCATTTCGTATATATATATATACATATATATATATATATATATATATATATATATATATATATATATATATATATATACACTCACACATAAATACATACACACATAGAAACAAAATTGATCTTATTTTAAACAAAACGGAATGAAAATGAAGAAAAAATTTGTTTTCTGTTATTTCGTTGATAAGTACCAAATATTTTCTTTTCTTTTCTTTTTTTGTTTTTACACCCCCCTCAGGTTATCTATTATCCATACCGACTATTGATGAGTAGATTGTTTAATGTTTAAGTTGTGTTGCCATTTGTTTTTTTCTTTATTGTTATTGTTGTTGTGAACAGAAATGAATGTTTCATTATTTGTTATAATGTTACTACTTATATACTCATAATTGAACATTTTTTTGATTTCTGTAACATTTTCGGAAAAAAAGAAAAATTTGACTAATCAAATTTATTTTTTATGATTGATATAAGTTGATTGGAACAATTGTGGTAATAATAACAATACGATAGTTATTATTACTATGAATTGAATATTATTCATAATTATCATTCTTTCTATGACTTTTTATGCTGTCAAGCTTATGTGCTTATTGAAAAGTATTATACATATACTACTAATATGCTACTTATTAATATTAATAATTTGCTTATTTAAGAATCAATTTTGATGCAATAGTAGTAGTGATAGTATTAGTAGTAGTAGTCATGTTGCTTTTCAATTACTCTTGTCAATGATTTTCATTTTGAAGGAATAATGTTTGCTTATAATAAAATGAAATATATACCATATATGATTATTTTGTAATGAAAAAGAAAATCAAATTTTGTTTAGATAAACAATTTACTACTCTGTATTACGGGTGTATATGTATGAGTTTATTGTTCAAGATGCTTTAGTATGAGATATATTTATATAACTATCTGGTTATTTCGAACATTTAATTGAATGTACTCAATGGGTAGTTAGAGAACCTGGAAACACTGGACGGCCGTTTTGTTTTATTGTGGGACTCCTCAGCACTGCGCATGCACGATCCCGCTTACGGGATTCGAACCTATCAAACTTATTTGTCTCCACAACCCCTATCCTCAAAATTATCATGTGCTCACTGGTGACTAGCTTCGTGAGGGAATTCTCGGAGTTCTAGTGAGAAGCTGTGACTAGTGGAGGTGATCTATGTCGGGTAGAGACAGGTATCTACCTCAGTAAAATGGAAGATGGTCGCGCAATCTCGTGGATTGGTTGAGGTTAGACATTAACACCGTCGGATGCTGGTTCAGTGGTCCAGTAGGTTAAGCGTTTGTGAGCGAGACCGAAAGTTCTGTGTTCGAACCCCGAGGGCAGGATCGTGGATGCGCACTGCTAAGGAGTCCCACCATAGGACGAATCGGCCGTCCAGTGCTTCCAGTGGTGGTTTAACATCAATCGGTTCATGATCGCAATCAAATACTTTATTATTGTTCGCGAAATTATTGTATCCAAAGGTTAGAGACTTCGGTGACCTGACTTATTATTAATCGCGATGGTGAAATTACATTCCCCCAGTGTCTTCTGTTAGGCTTCCAGTTTTAAAATGATCTTATACATATTGTTCCGCGTTCATTTTTTCCATACCTAAGCTTCCCTACAACTACTGATAGTATTGCTACTTAAACTACTATGAAGTTGCTTTTGATAATTAGATCTCATTATCATTCTCGCACATACATCAATAACTGAATGCTTTAGATTGCGTAAATTCTTTTTAGATCTTTTTGTAATACTTAATTCAGTAAAATATAGTAAGTTTGATGTTCTTGATTGATTAATTATTTTGAAAGACTAATTTGTCCACATCATGACCACAGTCAGTAGTAGTGTAGTGAACAGAACATGAGTGGGGACAATCGAATGTATTTAACACAAAATTACAGGACTTATTAATAAAATCTAACAATCATAATGTAAATGCTTAATTTGTAAAATGTCCATCGATTGTCTCAGACTTCATTGTTCTTGCATTTTCATACAAACTGCATCCTATTTCCATTCTTTACTGTTCGATCCTCTTGTCTCTCTGCTGCCAGACCTTCCGTTCACGACTAACATCATATGCTACTTATGCCAATATAAGTAGCACACCACAGTAGTAACTCTGAAAACGTCCTGTCCTTTTAGTCTAAGCTTCTATGAAATGTTGCTCATATATGCAATCACTAATTCTTCTTTCTGTTCGTCCAGTGTATATGCTCTGGCACGTACATGTAAATTACTTCATACAATTAGAGATAGTATGAGTCTAAATTTATCATGCTTAACTCGAGACCTGAAAAATCCCTTAGTTCATTCTTATATGTGCCTTTTCAAAACAGTTAGCTCCGAATTAGGATATAACTACTAATCCGAGCTCTTTGTTTTTCAGTGGCCTTATATTTGATGAATAAATATAATGAAAATTAAACAAATCTTTGACATGCACCCAAACGAAAATCATATAGTTGAAAGATGCTCTGTACTAAGTGACAAAGTCTGCGAATGATATAAAAAAGCAAAGCGATATGACAACAGGAACTGATCTGGACTGATAACACATGAATCAACAACAAAATCCGTCGTTAATGTGAGGTTGTGAAGACTTGAGCCTGAATGGGAAGATGAACCGATTCACGTTAGGAAAACATTGAAAACCCTGCGGCATTGGACAGTCGTCTCATTCCAATATGGAATATCTCTGCAGAACACACCACACGAGCTCAGGACCTTCGTTCTCGAGCATGGGCACAACTTCCGAACTACCTAGTCAGGACAGTCTAGCTTTAACCAATCCGTAACATTGTACGACCAACTCTCATTGTTTTCGGTTCCTGGCTGCGAGCTCGTGGATGATGCACATTGCTGAAGAGTTCCGTAATAGAATGAGACGACCGTCAATTGCTTGCGTGTTTCTAATAACTGTCCATCTTAGATCGGTCCTCAATTTCAATGAAATCCAACCATTATCCGCGACACATGATGCCTTACTTGTAACAAAGCTACTAGATAGTTCAAGACTAGTTCAAGACTCACCATCATAAAAGAACCGGACGAGTCCACTGTTGACATAGGAAAGCCGCCCCTTCTGTTTGTTCGCAACTAGTTACTTTCCGGAACACTAAACAAATGGACTAGTGAATTCATTCTACAAATTCAAGTCCTGTCATGATTTGCCGTCTCTAGCCTTTGATGTGCAAGACTAAGATGAAGCCATAACCCCCCCCCCAGTTAGTGGAAACACTACTTAGAACCAAATCATTCAATACTGCATTGTCGTTATTCTGTTTGTTTCCCTGTAGTGAATTGTTAATTTCAAAATTTGTCCCTAACTGTCTACCCGATGATCACTTTGGTTTAGCATTTACCTATCATCTCATTTTAATTCAATAAATAATCTAGATGACAAGTAGGTTTTTGACCTTACACACATAAATTACGTCTAACAAGAAATATCACTACCACTACACACTCAGTATAAAGACGTAAACAGTACCACCACCCAGGAGCCCACTTCTACGTATGCAAAAAGTTTGATTCAGACTTAAGACTGAATGACTGTAGGTTTATTTGCTTAAGCTATCACCTTACAGTTTAACACAATCAATTACTGTTAGACGGTTAGACATATTTGGCAGGAAACCCTGTTAGAATTTTAATAAGGTTTACCTGTATTTCTGAGGATCTAATATTCTCTTTGTGAGATTAGAGAGTATATCACAAAACTTTACTACTCAGCCATTCAAACCACCATCGACTTCTCGTAAACTGAGTATATGGTCAAGTTATGTTTGTTCAGCTTTTTCTAGTATAAATCGATGAGGTTGTAGTGTGGTGTTACAGTGTTCTTGACTGCTGTTAGAGGTATGAGGGCGGTTATCACTTCCCGGTTGCCCACACCGTGGAAGGGTTCTTCTAGAGGTGCCTGAAAAGGAAATTGGATTAGAGGTGGTCTTAGTGACCTGAAAACTCCGCCTGTAGCTCTTATAGGGTTGCTGCCGGTCCCAAGCCCGGGTAAAGGAGGAGGGTTGGGCATGGGGTTAGCGTCCCCATCCCGTAGAAAACTAACTCGCCAAACAACGCTTACCAGAAAAAATAATCCAAACCATTTTAACTCTGCCCTGGGAGTTAGAAGGTCTTCATTTAGAAGAATGATGACGCTTCATGGTGGAAGCCACGAGGCCGATGCCCCTTCTAACAACCAGAGCAAAAAATTTTATAGGTACATGGAACGTTCGAACAATGTGGGAAACCGGGAAGACCAGTCAAATATCAATGGAAATGAGGAGATACAACTTAGCAGTACTGGGAATCAGCGAAACCCACTGGACCCAAACTGGACAGAAAAGGCTAGCTACGGGAGAGATGCTGCTATACTCCGGTCACGAAGAGGACAATGCTCCACACACTCAGGGAGTCGCTCTTATGCTGTCCAAAGTAGCACGAAATGCACTTGTAGGATGGGAATCTCACGGATCCAGAATCATCAAAGCATCATTCAAAACAAAGAAGGAGGGGATCACAATGAATATTATCCAATGTTATGCATCCACCAATGACAGCAACGACGAAATTAAAGATCAGTTCTACGAGCGGCTGCACTCAATCATTGAGAAATGCCCAAGAAAGGACCTAACTATTCTAATGGGAGATCTAAATGCCAAAGTCGGAATAGACAACACTGGATATGAAGATATTATGGGACGACATGGACTGGGAGAAAGAAACGAAAATGGAGAAAGATTTGCAAATCTATGTGCATTCAACAAATTGGTCATAGGAGGCACGATATTTCCACACAAGCGTATACACAAGGCTACATGGATCTCACCG